AAAGAAAGAAAGAAAGAAAAGAAAGTCAGAGGCTCTTCCTGGTTTCTCTTGAAGCCATCATGGCAGCTCTGAGTCTATCCTTTCACTTCTTCCTCCTTGTTTCCATTTCACACATTTCTCCATATTCACACTCAACCTTTGGAAATGAGAGGAGGGTAAAACGGACTCTGTCTTATTTGATCTCTGTGGCCCCTTAGAATGGCATTTTCCTCTTTCACGTTAAGATCCTTTAAATATCAAATGATACTTTTCACATCCTCCAATTTATCTCTTCTCCACGTGCAACGTCTGCCTTCCTATAGTTGTTCCTCTTGTGACAGGTTTGCTGATTCCACCACCCCGGGCATCTCTTCTGTATTTACTCTTATATGACAACATCCCTCTTAAGGTGTGATGCTCACCATATGACACTGCTGCACTGGGCTGTAATTTCTCTGGGAAAAAATTATTTTCTCCTCTGAAACATACATCCATAACAATGCTTTTAGCTGCAAGTAGCATAATAACCAAGTGACAGTGGCTTAAATAGAGAGGAAATTATCTCATTTAAATAGAAGACTAAAGGATAAACAATTCCAGAGTTGGTTAATTCAGTAACTTAAATATTTTAGGGCTCTGGGTTGGCTGCTCTTCAATTCCTTGCCTTTTCTCTCATGGTAGCCATATGGCTGTCAAAGCTTCAGGCATCACACCTTTATTTCAAATAATTCAGCAAGAAGGATAACAAAAGGCATCCATGTGCTATTTTTTCTTCTTACCAGGGGTGAAAAGAACCACACCAGCAGAATTATCATATGACCCAGTTGACCAGAACTGCATCATATTGTCACCCCAATCTGCAAAAAGGAATGGGAAGGTGAATGTCTGTTTTCTTCAGCCAGTAAAAAGGGATTGGGAATGGCAATCAACAGTGTCTGCCATGTAGGTGTAAGCCCCTGGCAGCATGAAGACACACAATTGGCTTGAGTGAAAAATCTTGTTGATAAGAAAACTCTGTCATGGGCAGTGAGCATAAAATCAAATGACTAGAGAAGGTGACAAGTAACATGAATAAGTTAAGTGGGCCCAGTGCAAACTAATGGGTACTGGAGGTCCTCATCCAGATAAAAGAGGAAATCCTACTTCAAGTCTTCTCTCCGACCCTAATGCAGAATTCCAATACTTAAGTCCTTACAGAAAAATTGGAAGGATTTTACTTGGAGATACTAAACAGCCCCAAATAAATAGTCCCAGGCTATTTTCTCCAATTGACAAAACAGCTGACATGATAATCCTAGGAGAGGCCTTCGAGTTCTCAAGCCCTACTCAGGTACATAGTGCTTGCAATCAGCATTTTAGTGGTTTGATTTTAAATACCAATGTTTAGCTGGAGACCACTAGGCAGATGAAGAAAATTTCCAATATAAAAGGCAGACACAAAAACAAAACAAAACTGAAAAAAAGAGAAGTCCAAGTAAACAGAAGAAATTCAAATAATAGAAGAAAACTTTCTAAGTTTTTACAAATTTAACTTTATATTTTGAGGTAACTGTAGATTTACTTGAAGCTGTAAGAAATAATAGAGATCTCCTGTACTCTTTACCCAGGTTCTTTCAATGGTAACTGCCATGTGCTAAATGTTTATGTCTCCCCAAAATTCCTGTGTTGAAACCTAATCCCCAGTGGAATGGTATTTGGAGGTGGGGCCTTTGGTAGACGATTAGGTCATGAGGGCAGGGGCCTTATGAATGGGATTAGTGCCCTTATAAAAGAGTCCCTGGAGAGCTCCCTTGCTCCTTTGCCATGTGAGGACAGTGAGAAGACAGCTGTCCATAAACTAGAAAGTGGACTTTGATGAGGCGCCAAATCAGCCAGCATCTTGTCTTGGACTTCCAAGCCTTCAAAACTGTGAGAAATAAATTTCTGTGGTGTATAAGACACCCAGTCTATGGTGGGCTGTTATAGCAGTGCAAACACGTTAAGGCAGAAATAACTTACAAAACTATAGTATGATATCACAAGGATATTAACATTGATACAGTCAAGACACAGAACAGGAAACGTTTTAAAATCCTATCATTAATATCCAGAAAAGATAAGTCATTGTATTTGCAAAACAAGATTAGGATGCTATTTTAGAAAGGTACAATAAGAGGATGAGAAAAAAATTCTTGGAAATTAAAGATATGTTTGTGGTATATTGTATTTTTCTAAGATGACCACATCAATATCTTCCATTTCACATGCTCTTCGTTACAATATGAATTTCACATTTTTTAAATTGAGAAGTGGGATCTTTGTTTCCTACCCTTGAATCTGGAAGGGCTTGTGATCTTGGTGAAAGTGTCACCATGTAATCTCTGAGGACAGGTCGTAGAAGGCAATACAGACTCCAGTTAGTTCTCTTTGGAATGCCCACTCTTGGGAGCAAGCTACTATGCTAGAAAAAAACCCAAGTAGCCACATGGAGAGGCCATTTGCATTTCTATTAATATCTTG